AGCTAAAGTGTGCTATGGGAGCAAGATGAGCCTTGAAAGATGGGCATCCCTGGCCGTGCTCTACTACAGGGGCTCCCACATCAACCCTCTGGGCTCTGAACTTACTGGAATTCTGCCCCTACCACTTCTTTAAGCATCGCTCCCTGCCAACTCACACGTTCATGGGAGTTGTGAAGTCTCCTGCTGGCAGGTTTCCAGAGGCCCGTGGCAAGCGCAGGTTGCTGCTTGCCTGCTCAACTCACTCCTCCCGTAAGAGTTGTTGGGGCCTAGAAAGGAGCTCCAGTGTGTGATAGCCCCATTCAGGTTCCCAGTTGTTTCCCTCTTCAGCCCCCAGAATATTTATTTTAAGGTAAAATAGTTTCAGTGTGTTAACTCCTACCATTACCTTCTTTGTAATTTCTTATGAGTAATATATTACCTACAGAGATAAGTGGGTCACTTACTGTGAAAAACCTCTTGCACACACTTATAAAACTATATGAACAAGTGCGTAGAAAGAGAACTGAAAGGTCCCTTGCCTCAGGCATGACTACATATGTGCAATTGTCTGCATGTACCTATGTGGTATTTCCTGTGTTGCCCAAAATAGAATTTATGGGAACTTCCTAGTAAAAGTAGAAATATCTTCTTGTTTTTTAATGCTTTACTGAAGTAACTACATGTATACATGCAAAGCTAAAGCAAGTTAAAAATGTGAATCATAATGCAGTTTTAGTAGCTTTGCATTAATTTTAACTGGAATTATGATAGTATTAATAGACCTGTTGCATTTACAAGATACTAATCCTTATTTCTCCCAATTCACATGCCAACACATGTCCCTAATCACTGTTCTTTTTATAAATAAGAAAACAAAATAAAGGAACAAAACAAGAAACAATCAATAGCATTGCATATTGGAATTTAAAAAGTAAGCTACCATTGACTTTCTTCACAGAACTGGAAAAAACCACCATGAACTTCATATGGAACCAAAAGAGAGCCCGCATAGCCAAATCAATTCTAAGCAAAAAGAACACAGCGGGGGGCATCACACTACCGGATTTCAAACTATACTACAAGGCTACAGTAATCAAAACAGCATGGTACTGGTACCAAAACAGAGATATAGACCAATGGAACAAAACAGAGGCACTGGAGGCAATACAACATATCTACAACTATACAATCTTTGATAAACCTGACAAAAATAAGCAATGGGGAAAGGATTCCCTATTTAACAAATGGTGTTGGGAAAACTGGCTAGCCATGTGCAGAAAGCAGAAACTGGACCCCTTCCTGACACCTTACACTAAAATTAACTCCAGATGGATTAAAGACTTAAACATAAGACCTGGCACCATAAAAACCCTAGAAGGAAATCTAGGCAAAACTATCCAGGACATAGGAGTAGGCAAGGACTTCATGAACAAAACACAAAAAGCATTGGCAACAAAAACCAAAATAGACAAATGGGACCTAATGAAACTCCACAGCTTCTGCACGGCAAAAGAAACAGTCACTAGAGTGGATCGGCAACCAATAGAATGGGAAAAAATTTTCGCAGTCTACCCATTTGACAAAGGGCTGATATCCAGAATTTACAAAGAACTCAAACAGATTTACAGGAAAAAAACAAACAAGCCCATTCAAAAATGGGCAAAGGATATGAACAGACACTTTACGAAAGAAGACATATATGAGGCCAACAATCATGTGAAAAAATACTCATCGTCACTGGTCATCAGAGAGATGCACATCAAAACCACATTGAGATACCATCTCACGCCAGTTAGAATGGCGATCATTAAAAAATCTGGAGACAACAGATGCTGGAGAGGATGTGGAGAAAAAGGAACACTTTTACACTGTTGGTGGGAGTGTAAATTAGTCCAACCATTGTGGAAGACAGTGTGGCGATTCCTCAAGGCCTTAGAAATAGAAATTCCATTTGACCCAGCAATCCCATTACTGGGTATATACCCAAAGGACTATAAATCGTTCTACTATAAGGACACATGCACACAAATGTTCATTGCAGCACTGTTTACAATATCAAAGACCTGGAATCAACCCAAATGCCCATTGATGATAGACTGGATTGGGAAAATGTGGCACGTATACACCATGGAATATTATGCAGCAATCAGAAATGATGAGTTCGTGTCGTTTGTAGGGACATGGATGAATCTGGAGAACATCATTCTCAGCAAACTGACAAAAGAACAGAAAATGAAACACCGCATATTCTCACTCATAGGCGGGTGATGAAAGATGAGAACACATGGACACAGAGAGGGGAGTACTAAACAGTGGGGTCTATTGGGGGAAAAAGGGGAGGGCCAGTGGGAGGGGGAGGTGGGGAGAGATAGCCTGGGGAGAAATGCCAATGTGGGTGAAGGGGAGAAAGGAAACAAAACACACTGCCATGTGTGTACCTATGCAACTGTATTGCATGCTCTGCACATGTACCCCAAAACCTAAAATGCAATAAAAAAATAAAAATATAAAAAAAAGTAATCAAAATGGTTTCACGTGTATCCTTAATTTTTATCCTAAAGCCCACTAATTGCTGAACTACATTTTGGAAAAATATGAAAAGTCGATACAGAAAGGGAAGGAGAGATGGAGAACATGGAAGCAAATAGAGTAGATCAGGGAGGTGGAAAGGTCAGTGTGGAGCAAATCTCCATCTGACACTGGAAGATAGTGGCTAGAATTACATTGGGCAGAAAAAGTAACAGAGTGACACTCCCTGTATACAAAATTTTAAACAATTTGCCTGTTCATTACACATCTAGTGTTGCAAGGTTAAGTGATTTGCCTAAGGAAAATTGGTTCTCAGAGTGTGGGCTCTAGTCCCAGATTTTGCCACTTTTGTAACCTTAGTTTACTGGTTCTCAAATTTGACCATGAATTCTCTGAAAGGCTTGTTGCTGAGCCCTCTCCAAAAGAGTTTCTGATTTTTTAGGTCTATTTTTAAATGTTCACATGATGTGGATGCCACTTGTAGCTACATGTCTTAACTCATTTATTGCTTTAAAAAAATGAATGAAGTAAGTATTTTTACTCGCCTGATACTATACATTTAATATGCAAACAAAATAAAACTGGGACATGAAACCAGGATATGAACTCCAGATCTTAAGATTATGTCCTATATACCTCTGAATTTTACAATGTGACACTTCGATAGAAATATTCACAGGGCATGGTTAATGCACAGAAGTGGAGCATCTAGACTAAACTGAAGATTTAGGGAAGGCTTTGCAGAAACATTCATAGATTACAGGTAAAGGAGTACTCAAAATGTTTGAATCCATCTCAAGCACTTAGTAGCTGTGCAATCTTAATAACTTACTCTTTTTGGGTCTTCATCTGAATCTCTGTAAGGTTACCATGCAAAGTAGATAATATAGATAACGCCTGGTACATGGTGAATGCTCAACATATAACTGACTGTTACATTAAGGGAAATATTTTAACGTAATGAACATGTGCAAAGAGATGAAGCAGTTGTTTGGGTAATGTGAGAGAGGGAGACTTGTTTGTGTAATGGGTAATAGGAGATGGTGTTGATTAGGATAAAACTATGATGAAGACCAAGTTGAAGATAGAAATGCATTTGTAATGGCACCAGTTCAAATAGATGGCTCTGCTTTTCTCTAGCAGTGACAAGCTGCATATGCATAGCAGTAAAGAAGGCATTTGTTCATTCAATACATATCCATTGAGCACCACAGTAAACCAGCCACCACACTATGCACCAAGGACACTGGGGTAAATAAAACAGCCCTCATGGAGCCCTCTGCATTCTAAAGGTAGTGAATGTTGGATGAAGGAGGTGGTGGTGGTGGTTAAAATAAAGAGAAAGAGAGAGAATAAGGCAGAGACCTAGAGTAATCCAGAATTGGGGTTTCGCTAAGTGGGAAGGGCAGTTCGATAAAGAGGCAAAGCAGTTGAAAGTGATAGTAAGACAATGGTTATAGTCATTAATTTGAAAGCAATAAAAGTCAGGTGGGAGGTAGCTAATAAATGGGAGAAAATACAAGATGCACAAGAGATTAAGAGAGAATACATTACAGACATCAAAATACTGACATGGAAAAATATATACTATACATATTGGAGTGAGAAAACATACAAAATAGTATATAGGTTGTCATCCCATTTATATTAACCTATATATTATATAAAATTATATATTATTTAAAATCTAAGAAGTAAAAGAATCTAGTTAGTGAAAATTTTGAATTAGAAAAAATTCTATTGACTTTCCTTTATCTTTCAGAATATTTTGAATTTGTGGAGCTTTTCTAGATTTTGCCTGACAGATGACCACATATATGCTGTAACCATATAGTAGAAGGCAGCTTTTGGGGTTCAGCATATAGAATTCATTTCATGACAAAATATGCTCTCATCTACACATGAACAGTTGACAGATTTTTAATGTGTATCTATTTAAATCTATATAATTGTATATTGTGTTATATAAAATTATGTTTATATCTATTGATATATATTAAATATAATGTAATAGATAAAATATATAAATTTTATATATATAATATATGACATATCAAGTATATGTTAAATCTTGGCCTCCATATGTTGAACACACATAAGTGGAAGACAAACAGTAGTGTTCTGGCAGTAGGACCGTATCTAATATCATCAGTGTAATATCTTAAAACAAGTTATAGTATGTCATGCATTTTTGAACTCCTTGCCCAAGAGTTTGCTTTTGCCGGGAAAGTACACTACAAAAGAAGGTACATGGAATTCTTTACTAATCCAAAAAGGGTTTGTGTGTTTTTTTTTTCTGATTATTATCATAATCTACATTAACTCTTAAAATGAGACATTTTCTCATATCTGCCCTTTTACCTATTGAAAGTATTAGAGTTTTGCTGTGAACCTAAAACTGCTGGTAAAAATAAAGTCTATTTTTAAAATACTAGAATGTTGTAAAATGTTTGATAGCTACAACATCAAGGGAAATAATATGTTTACAGTACCTTCCTCCAATTCTCTGCAAATGTTCTAATAAGCAGTAATATAGATCCGTATTCTTACGGCTCAGATCAGCCAGCAACTCTCCAAAATATCTGGGGTCCAATTTTTCAGGGCCATCATCCTGAATTATCACCTGAAGCAAACATCAATCACAGTTGTAAACAATATTGTTTTTCTAAATTCACAGATACTTTTATGTGCAGCAAAACAAAGTAAGATAACCTATTAAAGTCATCACATAAATCAAGCCAATTCTTTTACAGAGATACATTTTTTAATATAGGAAACATTTAAAGAAAAATCAACATTGCAATGGCATTTTCAACTTCATTTAACTCAAGTCTAAGTGTTTGAATGAATGCAAAACTTGAATAACGTGAATATCTTGAATATAGGCACTTAAATAAAACAGCAAAATAAGTAAATTAAACCACATGGCTTATTCATATATATCCTGTGGATAAAAAAGGAAAATGTGAATTATATTTCTTAATATTTAAAATTTAAAAATTAATTTACACATAAAAAATTATGTATTTATGGGTTTTAGTGTGGTGTTTCACTACCTACATATAATCTGTAATAATCAAATCAGGATAATTAGCATATCTATCACCTCAAACAATAATCATTTCTTCATGATGGGAACATTTCAAATCCTCTCTTCTAGATATTTGAAAATATAGAGTAAATATCTATTAGCTATAGTCTCCCTACAATGTTATGGAACACAGGAACTTATTTCTCCTATATAGTGGTAGTGTTGAATCGTTAACCAGTCTCTCCCTATATCTTCTTCCCCCTCCCGTCTCAGCCTCTTGTTATCACTATTCTACTTTCCACTTTCATGACATTATATGACATTAATATATTTAGCTCCCCCATAAAGTGAGAACATGTGATATTTATCTTTCTGTGCTGGGCTTATTTCACTTTACATAATGTCCTCCAGGCTTATCTGTGTTGCCTCAATGGACAGGATTTTATTCTTTTTTTATGGATGAATATACTCAATTATATATATTGTATCTATACATAACCATATTTTCTTTATCCACTTATCCATTGATGGACACTTAGATTGATTCCATATCTTGGTTACTGTGAATAGTGCTGCAATCACATGGGAGTGCAGACATATCTGCATATATCAAAATCATAGTTATTTTTTAATTATACTGACTATAGATGAATTACTTCCACTTGGACTTGCATATTCTCAGTGAAAGTCAGCCAGATTTGTTAGTATATCTTAAAGGTAGATTAAATAAACCTACTAGATTCAATGTGTTTTGATGTATTTCTTGTTTGACGTCTCCCATTTATTATTCAAAGTGAATATTTAATCAATCTCACATAAAGAGTAGCTTAGGGTCAACTGTAGAGAACACATAGACTTCAGAGACATTTGAAATCCTAGACTCAAATTACTGTGAACAGTGTCCTAAATAAGACACATTCTTTTGGCTTCCTATTCTTGGGTATCAGTCCTTTCAATATATTGGGCACTACGGCTCCCAACACACTGCCTGGAGGATAATAACTTAGGTTACACTCCATACTACTATTGATATTGCATGTGAAATCAAGTTCCCTAAAAACACGTTTATTATTAAGCATATAGATGGTAAATTGACTTTGAATTTGACTACTGACACTTCCTTTTCAACCTGTCCCCTGAATTCAGACCTTAAAAAAACTATACATTCTAAGGCGAATGGAATAAATGCACAGTAAGCAAAGATAAATTTTCATAACTACATCTGTGACAAAAAACAGTTTATAAAATACTGGCCAGTGAAAAAAAGTGAAATACAAGATACAATGTAGTATCATATTTTTGTTAAGTATAGATGAATATACAATCATAATGTTAGTTGTCTTGTCCATGTACTCTTTGGAGTTGCTTTCCTGAGTAAATAATGATTATCTCCAAAACAAAATAGAGTCTCATATATAAAGGCATGAGTAGATGGGTAAACCTGTAAAGTCAGTATTACCACATAGTACATTTAAATATCATACTTTTTTTAATTTTTAAATTTTTTATTTTTTTATTGCATTTTAGGTTTTGGGGTACATGTGAAGAACATGCAAGATAGTTGCAAAGGTACACACGTGGCAGTGTGATTTGCGGCCTTCCTCCCCTTCACTTATATCTGTCATTTCTCCCCATGCTATCTCTCCCCAACTCCCCACCCCCTGCTGTCCCTCCCCTATTCCCCCAACAGACCCCAGTGTGTAGTGCTCCCCTCCCTGTGTCCATGTGTTCTCATTGTTCACCACCCGCCTATGAGTGAGAACATGTGATATTTCATTTTCTGTTCTTGTGTTCTCCAGATCCATCCATGTCCCTACAAAGGACACGAGCTCATCGTTTTTGATTGCTGCATAATATTCCATGGTGTATATGTGCCACATTTTCCCAGTCCAGTCTATCATCAATGGGCATTTGGGTTGGTTCCAGGTCTTTGCTATTGTAAACAGTGCTGCAGTGAACATTCATGTGCATGTGTCCTTATATTAGAACGATTTATAGTCCTTTGGATATATACCCAATAATGGGATTGCTGGGTCAAATGGAATTTCTCTTTCTAGGTCCTTGAGGAATTGCCACACTGTCTTCCACAATGGTTGAACTAATTTACACTCCCGCCAGCAGTGTAAAAGTGTTCCTGTTTCTCCACATCCTCTCCAGCATCTGTTGTCTCCAGATTTTTTAATAATCGCCATTCTAACTGGCATAAGATGGTATCTCAAGGTAGTTTTGATTTGCATTTCTCTGATGACCAGTGATGATGAGCATTTTTTCATATGTTTGTTGGCCTCATGTATGTCTTCTTTTGTAAAGTGTCTGTTCATATCCTTTGCCCATTTTTGAATGGGCTTGTTTGTTTTTTTCTTGTAAATCTGTTTGAGTTCTTTGTAGATCCTAGATATCAGCCCTTTGTCAGATGGGTAAACTGCAAAAATTTTTTCCCATTCTGTTGGTTGCCGATTCACTCTAGTGACTGTTTCTTTTGCCATGCAGAAGCTGTGGAGTTTTATTAGGTCCCATTTCTCTATTTTGGCTTTTGTTGCCAATGCTTTTGGTGTTTTGGTCATGAAGTCCTTGCCTACTCCTATGTCCTGAATGGTTTTGCCTAGATTTTCTTCAAGGGTTTTATGGTGTTGGGTCTTATGTTTAAGTCTTTAATCCATCTGGAGTTAATTTTAGTGTAAGGTGTCAGGAAGGGGTCCAGTTTCTGCTTCCTGCACATGGCTAGCCAATTTTCCCAACACCATTTATTAAACAGGGAATCCTTTCTCCATTGCTTTTGTCAGGTTTATCAAAGATTGTATGGTTGTAGATATGTTGTATTGCCTCTGGTGCCTCTGTTCTGTTCCATTGGTCGATATCTTTGTTTTGGTACCAGTACCATGCTGTTTTGATTACTGTAGCCTTGTAGTATATTTTGAAGTCCGGTAGTGTGATGCCTCCCGCTGTTTTCTTTTTGATTAGAATTGACTTGGCTATGTGGGCTCTCTTTTGGTTTTATATGAAGTTCAAGGTGATTTTTTCCAGTTCTGGGAAGAAAGTCAATGGTAGCTTCTTGGGGATAGCATTGGGTCTGTAAATTACTTTGGGCAGTATGGCCATTTTCATGATATTGATTCTTCCTAACCATGAATATGGAATTTTCTCCATCTTTTGTGTCCTCTCTGATTTCGTTGAGCAGTGGTTTGTAGTTCTCCTTGAAGAGGTCCCTTATGTTCCTTGTAAGTTGTATTCCTAGGTATTTTATTCTCTTTGTAGCAGTTGTGAATGGCAGTTGGTTCTTGATTTGGCCTTCTTTAAGTCTGTTGTTGGTGTAGAGGAATGCTTGTGATTTTTGCACATTGATTTTATATCCTGAGACTTTGCTGAAGTTGCTTATCATTTTCAGGAGTTTTTGGGCTGAGACAATGGGGTCTTCTAGATATACTATCATTTCGTCTGCAAATAGAGACAGTTTGGCTTCCTCCTTTCCTATTTGAATACCCTTTGTTTCTATTTCTTGCCTGATTGCTCTGGTTAGAACATCCAGTACTATATTGAATAGGAGTGGTGAGAGAGGGCATCCTTATCTAGTGCCAGATTTCAAAGGGAATGCATCCAGTTTTTGCCCATTCAGTATGATATTGGCTGTTGGTTTGTCATAAATAGCTTTTATTATTTTGAGATACGTTTCATCAATACCGAGTTTATTGAGGGTTTTTAGCATGAAGGGCTATTGATATTTGTCAAAGGCCTTGTCTGCATCGATTGAGATAATCATGTGGTTTTTGTTTTTGGTTCTGTTTATGTGGTGAATTACGTTCATAGACTTGCATATGTTGAACCAGCCTTGCATCCCCAGGAAGAATCCTACTTGATCATGGTGGATAAGCTTTATGATATGCTATTGCAATCGGCTTGCCAGTGTATTATTGATGATATTTGCGTCTATGTTCATCATGGATATTGGCGTGAAGTTTTCTTTTCTTGTTGGATCTCTGGCGGGTTTTGGTATCAGGATGATGTTGGTCTCATAAAATGATTTGGGAAGGATTCCCTCTTTTTGGATTATTTGGAATAGTTTCTGAAGGAATGGTAACAGTTTCTCTTTGTGTGTCTGGTAGAATTCAGCTGTGAACTCATTTAGACCTGGGCTTTTTTTGTGTGGTAGGCTCTTAATTGCTGCCTCAACTTCAGACTTTCCTATTGGTCTATTCATAGTTTCGACTTCCTCCTGATTTAGGCTTGGGAGGACACAAGTGTCAAGGAATTTATCAATTTCTTCCAGGTTTACTAGCTTATGTGCCTAGAGTTGTTTGTAATATTCTCTGAAGACGGTTTGAATTTCTGTGGAATCTGTAGTGATTTCCCCTTTATCATTTTTTATTGCATCTATTTGGTTATTCTCTCTTTTCTTTTTTATCAGTCTGGCTAGTCATCTGTCTATCTTGCAGATCTTTTCAAAAACCAGCTCTTGGATTTATTGATTTTTTGTAGGGTTTTCGTGTCTCTATCTCCGTTGCTTCTGCTCTGATCCTAGTTATTTCTTGTCTTCTGCTAGGTTTTGAGTTTTTTTATCTTGTTCCTCCAGCTCTGTCAATTTTGATGTTAGGGTG